TTCCTGCTGTACACATCTGGATTTATATGCCTGTATTTATTGATATTTGGAGAGCATGATGTGACATAGTGAATGCTTGACCTCATGATCAAGGGACCCAAATCTGTAGAAGACATGGGCTGAATGTAGGCAGAAAGTCCAGGAGCAGGAATCCTCACCAATCCCCACAAGTATCGTAGGTACGTGAGCTTCTAAAGTTTTTGCCAGTCTTTTCCTGTATGTCCCTCAAAATTTGCTTTTTCCCAGGCCATTATCTGCCTTTAAGTGCATTGAATGTGTTTCACACATCTCATATGCGCCATCAATTCTAGGCTTATTAACGTGACAGATTAGACCAGGTTTCTTCTCCCTGCTTCAAGAATTCTTAGATTTATTTTAAAATGTCACTACATAAAAACTAGTAATGGTGCTCTCAATCAGCTATTAGTACCCAGATTTTCCATTTCCAACTTAGTACTCTGAAGTATTTGTGTTACTTTTGCTTTCTGACCCCCTAAAACTTAATTCTGTTCTGTGTTACTTTGTGAGTGCAGCATCAAGTGCTTCATGGCACTATACTTCTCTCGATCTTTTATGTTCAGTTCAGATTTTAAAATTCTTCTAATGTCTCTCTGTGTGAGTTAAGACATTGTGGTTTTCAATATTTATTTCCATGAAGCGAAGGAAACAGTCACTGGAAAAAATCCTGGTATAGTATTGGGAAATGAGAGTGACTGTTTTGTCATATCTACCTTGCTACAAGCAACCCCCTCTAATGCAGGTTACAGCTCATCAGCAAAAAAGCAGGAGTCATAATAATTAACCCCTCCAGAGGAAAATATGCAAATTTATTTAAATTAAACCAGTTAAAGTAGATTTATATTATTAGAAAGTTGATTAATTGAAAGTTGGGGTTCTTTGTAGGTTTTGTAGTAATTTATAATTAAATAAAAATTACATGTCTTTTCAGTATTTCTAAGTTTTGGGTCTAAAAAGACTAGACTAAAAAGACTAGACTAAAAAGTCTAAAAAGACTATCACTGAAGAACGGCTAGAGTTTTCCAGCTTTAGAATAACTTGGTAATAGTAGAAGTTTAGTTTCTGAATTGAAAAAATGGAATTTCTCCAGATGTGAGTTGAATCTGAGAAGAAGTACGGTAGTGCTGCATCTTGGCCAGGCTACACACATAACATGATCTTTTTACATGGACATAAATACAGCAGAGGAGAATTGTTTAAACATTAAGTCAATGCCTGCTTATAGGCTAAAGTTGCAGTTAAAACATGAATTAGATGGTGAATGCAATAACAAAATAAGCCAAGGCATAACAAATGATGGTTGATTTTACATAACCACATTGAAACATCTTAATAAGCTAGAAAGGGAATACTGTCCTTTCTGGCCTGTAATTGTGTTTTGTATCTTAAAAGACTGGATTATAGGGGGTTGTGACTTGGACTCTTTTGTCTAGATTACTCTTCATTTGCCCGCCTCTAATTTCTGTTTTTTCATTTAATATATTGTGCCGCTTATCAGTGCTAGCACTGATCCACACTGCATGTTAATGACCTATGAAACAACAGAAATGACCCACTGATAAATTACAGTGTCACGTCACGAAATGTGTCATATCAGAAGGAGTTCTAACTAAACACTGCATGGGACAAACATGTATTCTTTTACTTGGACAATTGCAATAGAGCCTTTTGCTTTGGGATAGCAACTGTGGCCAAGTTTTCTGTGTGTGAACAATGTCTAGATGTTTGTGAGTGCTATTGTAGGGTCAATAGTAATAACATTTACTACTAATATTATAGTAGAAGTGCAATTCTGAGCACGGAAATGTCGCCATCAAGAAAGTATCCATTCCAGTTTTCCAAATCAGACTTTATTAAGACAAGAATTGCTTAGGGAGTAATAGTTATCCCTTTTCAGCAAGGTTGGAGAGAAATCTTCACTCCTTGAATCTATGTTATTCGTGTAAAGCAGAAGTAACCGCACTGTCCTGGAAAGCAGCTGCAAAAAGTCTTCTGAAACAAAGATTTCAAACTATCTTTGAAATAGTCAAATACCTTTGACTGTATTTGATTTTATATTCTTCTAACTTTTTTACGTGGTGCACCATTTTCTGAAACCACATTTGTACTGTATATGATAGAAATGTTGAAGTTGTTGTATTTTCATATAACTTTTCTATTTCTTTGCAGCAATTTGGTAAAATCTTAGATGTTGAAATTATTTTTAATGAGCGAGGCTCAAAGGTAAGCAGTTTAATTCACCTCTGGAATTTTAAAATTTGTTTAAAATATTTACATGAGTAAGGAAACAACTGCACTGCTGTAAAAATAATGTTTGAAATTCCATGTTAGTGAAAACATCTTCTGAGCTGTCATTTAGTTTCCTAAGCAGCATGAAAATCATTTTATATCTTTTAAAGGGGGTAATTTTAGCTACTCCAAACTGTCATCTGTTTTATGGAAATGTTGATTTCTGCTGTCTTTATTCTTCAAGGGTAATTATCTTGTTTATTTTATGAGTCCATGCTTACAGATACTTGTAGGCAGGTTTGTATTAGTATAGGTATTTTTTTTCCCCTATTGAAATGAATGATGATAATGATACCTAATAACTATCCTCTTTAGTAATTAGCTGAGAAAATATGCGATTGTTGCAAATAATCTAAGTGCAGATGTTTTCCTCTTTAGTTAAAGCTTCAGTACACCAACCCTTTGAAAACAATTTATTTTAACATTTATTTGATTAAAAGAGTTCTTAATGTATTGCAAACATTTAATTTTTTTCTGAAAATTACTTTGCCTTAAATGCATACTTCAGTTTATTGGATATTTAAGAAATAAAGCAAGGTAGGATGGCTATGACTGTATTAACATTGTTACCTGGTGCAAAACTGTAGACCAGAATGCTTCACCTGTGATATCAGCTGCATTATAAGGGTTTATGTGTATGACATATGCATGATAACTTTTTTCATCCCTGCCATGTCAGACACACTAGAATGTTTATCCAACAGTGTTTCAGTCTTCCTGTAGCTCTCTCATATAATTCATTGTTAGTGATGGAATTCTTTTCCTTTTACCACCATAATGTAATATGTCTTTTTTAAAGAATCAGCTATAAATCTCTCTTAAATCAGATATATTTTAGTTCTGTTATTTTTCCCTTAAAGTGTATGTATTCTAAACTTACAGGCATCACTTTTTTTGTTTGTTTTTAATAGACTAGCTGGAATGTCCTGATTTATATTCCAGAATTATTCATGCGTTCATTAATTAATACCCTTGCCTGCTAGCCCAAACCCAGTTGGAATATTTACCACTTTTTCAGTGAACAACCAAAATGTATGAAATTTGGTGGCTTAGAATCTCCTACCCTGCCTGAAATTTATTGTCATTAAATTACGGCTTTTCAGTAATGTTTGCAGAAGACGTGGGTTGTCCAAAACCTGCTCCTGCTGGAAAGGATCATAAATTTCAAAAGACATCCCACACTTGCCACCTTGGTTGGTTCTGTTGAAGATGGAGTGGAACTGAGTACATGTGTTTTGGTGGTGGTTTACACTTTTGTTTAGCCATTAAATCTTATATACGTAGGACTTCTAACCACCACGTTTGCATAGGACTGCATAAATATAAGGCTTTTTAAAAAGTATTCAGGGGATGGGGTGAGGAGTTATTTCTGAATTGAGAGTTTTTTAATTGTGATCTTGTGGTAGTGAAAACATCTCTGAGCCTTGTGCTAAAAACAAGCTCCTAGAAAGGATTTCAAAGGAAGAGGTTTTACTAGGCAGACTTGTAATGTCACTTATCTTGTCACTTATCTCAGTTACACACATTGCAATAGAGACTCTAAGACCTAATGTTATTAAGTTCTACTGCACTATCCAGTGCTGTGCTGGTGAATCCAGGCTGGCTCTAAGTAAGTTGCTGAAGGTACTTAAAGCAGTCCGTGATGCATCTCATTTTACGTATGCTGCTTCTCATCTTGTTTAGTTATTTCAAGTGTAGCTACATAGTATTTCGATTTGCAGAGTACCCTTAGATTCTGTCAATTAAATAGTTAGAAAACAGGATTAGGAATAAAGGGAGCTTTTTTTGTCTCTTTTTTTATGTCTTTTTTTTTTTTTAATTTTTATTTATTTATTTATTTAATCTGATCATTTCATGTCCATTCTGTAGGATTTAAGATGCACCAGATTAAAGTCCCATTCCTGGCAGTGCTTATCTATGTTTTCATAAAATCCCTCTGAAACTGAAAGGACTGCTAAGTGGTCTCAAACTGAGTACAGGTAAAAAAAGTTTGCAGGGTCAAAATTCAAATTTGTTTCTAGCTGCAGTTTGTCAGAAAAGAATTGCTAGATATTTTTTTTCTGTTTTTATTTATTTCTTTATATTCTAATAAATACTGTTTAAACAGATTCTTGCAAAAGCAGCAGAAGTAAGCTTATTTTCATGCCATAATACTAAAGAATTGCATATTCAAAAACCATAGTGCTGCAGCACCACCATAAAGCATACCATAATTTTACAGAAGGGAATCTCTCCGTAAAAGGAACACTAAAATAGTAGAAGTTTGATACCACAAATTTTTCTTTGTATGGAGGCATAATAATAATAATAAAGATAATTTTACTAGAATTGTATGGCAACACTGATGAATTTTGAAATGCTTGAGTATTGCGAGAATTTCAGTCTTGTTTTGGTATATATCTTTCTTACAACCTGTGTTCATGAAGCTTACCTTTGACAATTCTTGAAGCTGTTGATGAAAGTAACATTAAAAACTGGTGGTAACTTACCTTTCTCTGCATCTACCCTTATCTTGGAAGGATAATTTGAAATACAGCTTCCAGTACTGTGCATGTGTTAATGCTACTCTGCAGGTGTGACACTTAAACTCTGCACAGAGCTGCACATGCCTTTGTCTCAGGCACAATTGCAAAGGTGCAAAGATACAGGAACATGAGGTATCGTTTATTTTTTTACAGTTTTAAATTAATGCTCTATACAGCTGTATACTACATATATACTTTCTTAAATCTGTGTGTATATGTTTTTATCTCTATAGTATCTTGTACACTAACATATATTTCTTCAAATAAGAACTGCAGAGCACCTGCCAAATTAAACCAGGATGTTCTCACGTACTAACTTGACTATTATTAAATCATTTGACAGACTTTAAAAATAAAATGCAGAAAATAACCTGTTAATAAAATACATAGTGCGCTCAGCTAAAGTAGCTGTTGAATCACCTGCCTGTAAAATTAATGTTAACCTGTTTGTGTAGGTATTTGAATGTGTGGTGAATGAATCTATGTTCTGTGATTGGGTTTCTGTGTCAGCTAGCTAAAATTACAGAATTGCATAAATAATAAGAGCTTAATTTAAATAGTTAATTATGAGAATAAGTACAACATAAGAAATTAAAAAAAGACAATGAGTATTCTTTTCAGAATCTTTGAAGTTCCTGTCTTATCTTGGCTTGTGGCTCCACTTTATATCTTCTTCTAATTTTTTAATATAATTAGGTTTTTATCTTTCCTTTCAGTTGTTTGGAAAAAAAAAATAACTGGTAGTGCTGTGAGCTAAGTCTGATTCAAAATTTTGACTAAACAACTCCCACCAAATGTTCACAATTCTGAGAAGGGGCAGCTGCTCAGTGAGGAGGAGGGGGGAGAACAGGCAGAATTGGGGGAATTGATGCTGTGACACAGAGCTAGGCTCATCAGATTGATGGCTTCAGTGATGATGTCTGCTGTGAAATTTTCCTAATGGCAGCCTAAACTATGTGCCTTTTTTTTTTTTTTTTAACACTTAAGATGGGAGGAAGCAGTTGAAGAAGTAATAAAAGTCTAAAGTTGAGGATGGGTTTACGTATAAGAAAAGCCTATGCAGGCATCTAAAACATGAGGATCAGTACTGAGGAGGGGAATTTACTTTCAACACTCTGGTGCTTTGGGGAAGAGATTTACATCCTCCATGTCTTGTGACAAGCGAGGTCGTGGCTTTGTGCTATAATTGTGGAGGGCGGAGTGGAGAAACTGAGTGAAATCAGGCGTTTTGAGAAGGTAGAAGTGGAACTGCTGATAGAGTAGTCTGAGCTCAAGCTTAAGCAACTTCGAAGACCATGGAACATAAACTGTCTATATGAATGTTCCTTTCTGTGTTATAAGCTGGCATAAGTAAATGTACACTCTGAGTAGGTAAAATAATCCAAAATAACCTGTATAATGATCCTGATAGTATCTTAAATTTTTTTATCAATTGTTGAGTAATTAGTTTCGTAGTTCATGTCCATTGTTTTTTTCAATGCTTGGTGTCAGTTTTGCCTTAATTTCATAATTGTACATAAATGTATAAATAAATGTATAAATATCTTCCCTTCCTTTGTTTTGTTTTTGTTGTTTTTTTTTTATTTTGTTTTTTCTTCTTCCTTTATTTTAATCAGTCACTATGTACATGATAGGTAGAACTGCAGAGAGGAAGTGGGCGAATACTGACTGCAAAACATAGCGAATGGACTGGAGAATGAGGAGACATGATGCATGGCTTATTGCTGAGGAACAGAGCAGAGGAAGGCTTTAACTCAGTTTAAGCTAAAGTAACAGGAAAGCAAAAGGTTGTAGTAGAACTCCAAATACGTGCAGCAGTCCCTGTATATGAAGCGGCCATATACAACTGGCAAATGTTTCTTGTTACGAACCACCGAGGGTATAGGAGCTTATTTGTTCGGGTACCTTTGGGAAAGCATGCAAAGGCATTGTAGTGCCAACGTAAGAATTACTTCAAAGGGTTGGTGTATGTTTCCAAAATGGCTTTCAATGTCTGATTTTTTTTTCATAGATGTTTGACATTGTAGAGGGTTTAATTTAAATTAGCATAATAAAGAGTTGTAGTAGGATTGGGAATGTTTGCTTAGCCTCATACTATAAAGCAAAGCATTTGTCATAAGCAGTATTTCCTATTTGTTGAGTATTCTCCTGCCCCACTAGCAGGGGATTCTGGAGTTTTACTAGTTGCATGTTCTGTATGTGGGAAATAATATACATAAGTAGTAAATGAACCAGTTAAACTTATTCAAAACGTTTGCATTTTTATTCCTTTATCAGAGTTTATTTTTCTATTCACATCATGTGATTTTATTTGATCTGTTAATACAAGGAAGTTTCTACTTTGTTCTAAAAGTACTTTTGTTTTGTTGGTGGTTTTCTTTTCTTTTTTTCTTTTATAAAAAAATAAGTAAAGGCTGTATAGTTTGACAGAAGTTTAAGTTACCCTAGTGTTGCATGGGAACAATGTTTCTTATGGTCACGACAGCATGATAAAGTAGGCAATGTTTTAGAGTATATTGACATTCAGTGTTGAATTTTGTGCACATGTTTTTTATTTCATTGAGATATCTGCATGTCATTAAAATGTGGTTCATTTTCTTTTCTCATTAGTTCATTTTTTTCCTATGTGAAGACACTGTAATTTATTTTAATTTCATTTTCTTATTGTTAGATTTATTTTCCTCTGTAGTGACATGTAGATAGGTATTTTTGGTATCATTCTTTGAATTTCTCAGAGGGTATTATCTAACTGATGACAGAAAATATTTGTTCACATTTGTCGCTTATTTACTGCACATCTCAATACAATTATAATTTTTCTAATTTGCATGTTACAGAAATGAAGCAAGGACAAGAAAATATTAAATTAAAGAGAGAGAACATAAGCAAACAAGTGGTCATTGACTGAAATAATAATGTGCATGTTGTTTTCCCCCCTTCTCCCTCCTGCATGCAGGGATTTGGTTTCGTAACTTTCGAAAATAGTGCTGATGCGGACAGGGCGAGGGAGAAATTACACGGCACCGTGGTAGAGGGCCGTAAAATCGAGGTGCATGTTCAAAATATTTTCCTTTTCATCTTTTTTCTAAATGTCTGCTTCACTCTCATTTGTTGTTTCAGATGCATCATTGGTGTCTTCTGTGTGCTCCCCTTCCCCCTTCCCATTGTTTATATATATATATTTATATATAAAGACAGAGAATCTGGCCTTACTTGGGTTTTTTATTATTATTTCTTTTGTAATTATTATTATTGTTATTATCATTATTGCTGAAAGGTGGATGACAGAATTGAAAAAACAAACAAATGAAAGCTTTAATATTTTGGAAGTTATTATTTTGGATGTTTTGTAAATCAATGGGTGCAGTAGATTCCAAAAACCAGCCAACAAAAAAAAGAAAACAAAAAAATTGAGAACAACAACAAAAAAAAAAGTGTGACAGACAAAACAAAAACAAACAAAAGGTGGTTTTTTTTGTTTCGTTTTGGGTTTTTTTTGCTGCAGGGTTGATGTGGGATCCACAGTGGCTTTCAAAATACTCAGATTGGGAAAGAAACATCCAAAAGATGTACAAGAAAAAGAAACAAATCCAGACAAGAGATTAACCAATTTTAACATTTAATTTGCAATGGAGCCATCAGGCTGCTTTGGCTGGCTGGCCTGAGCCACTCCTATCCATTAAAAAACCAAGACAAATGTGTTTTAATACCATTGGATCCCCTTCAATACTGCCTCAGTCGTATTTGTTAGAGTAAAAAAAATACCAATTGAAAATGCTGTCGTCTTTTGAGTAAGATGTTGCATATTTTGCCTTTTCATTTTCCCCCTTCGACGGTAGCGCTTAGGGCCCTCACCAAACTCTCAGTAACCATGGTAACTGTATACATACCCATGCTGGCGATGGTGCTGAATGGTAAGTGGAGAAGTCCATCTGCCGTTTCACGTATTTAGCGCTGATATACCACGTGAATTTTTTTGACTTGTTGTATTAAGTTTTCTTGATGCTACATTTTTTTCTATATTGGTACGCCTGTAATTGAGTGTACGTTTTAAGCAAGCCTGGGAGGCACTGATTGGATTGAGGATATGACTTCGTGCACATCTTACTCAGATTGTTAACTCCATATTGTGTTAAATAATGCACCCTCTTTTTATCCTTTTGTTAGCTGTGATTTTAAAGCTTGAATGATTTTGTTAATTCTTGCAATGAAAAAGGCTCTTGTTCCAAGTGTTGAATGCTAGATGTTGCTTTTCCAATGGTACTTCTCTTCTAAAGGGTTATGTTGCACACTGCTAAAATTCGTTTGTCCCTTTTTTGACATTTTCTTTGTTTCCTTGTACCTTGTCTCTTTCCTTTCTACTCCACTGCATGTTTCTTCATATAATCTTCTTTATTTTTCTGTTTTGAGTATTTATTGTATCAGTGTTATCATGGAATACAAGCATGCTCTTAAGTCTTAAATTATGCAGTACCTTTTAATTTGCTTTTAATGTCTTTTTATTAAAGTTTAAATGATACGATGTTGCTTTATTGAAATGATTTGTAAGTTAAAATGGTTATGAAAGTAAATGTAATTATAAATAGTATGATTTTGTTATGCACCTGTTGCCTTCTATAAATTAAATTGCATTTTATTTTTACATGACTAATAGCAGTAATAATGCATGCATTTGATAGTAATGTGGACCCTCCCTGTAACCCTTTCTAATCCAGTGTTCTATGTGCTTAGGTAAATAATGCAACAGCACGCGTAATGACAAATAAAAAGACCGTCAACCCTTACACGAATGGTAAGTGCATGAGCTCTCAAGTGCTTTGTTTTAATGTCAGGGCATGTGAAACCTCACTCTTCTGCTGAACAGGTGGACTCACCTGCTCATGAAGTGTCATAGTCCTCATCTCCTGCATCTCCTTAGGCTCCAGCTTTGTCCAGTGACCTGAGAAATGAGATGGCCAGGCATAAATTCTGTTTGTGTGGAATTCAGCTAACTCACAACTATGTGGGCATCGCATGCATCATTTTGCCTGATCAGAATTTGGGTGTTTAACTATAGTGACTTTTGTGTAGGAAAATATACCTGATAGGAAATTGTTACTCTCTTCTAGCTTTGTGTAGCGATAATGTCACAATGAATGAAGTAATCAGAGTATTCAATTTTGCTTGGATGGTGGAGGCAGAGAGACCAGTAAGAAGAGTGTCTCTTGTCAGGCATGAGATACTTTGTAGTAACAAGACACACATCTAGCGAAAGATAATTCTCTGTGTCTTTCTTCCACAATTTGTTACAAGAAAGGGACAAACTGTAAGTGAGTGCTGCTTCCAGCTTTTTTTCACTGGAAAAATCTAAATTCCAAGCTATCTAAAACATTTCCTTCTAATACTCACCTAAATTGGTATACTGTTGTACATTAATGATAGAAAAATAATCCACAGATATTTGAGAGGTTTGAAAGCCATACATTTTAAAAATGTTCCTTTTGGCAGTGTTTGATCATGTGCTTGAGTTGTTTGTATTTGCTAGTTTGGAAAATTCTCACAAGTTTCTAACTCAGCAGCGTCAAATAATACATCAATTGAAGTTAATTACAATTACATTTCCCAGTTTTATTAGACTGTGTAGTTATAATTATTTGCTTTTCTTGGGTTTTTTTCCCCATCCAGTAGAAGGCAGATGACATCTACATGTACATCAGTAAAAGTTTCCACAGACAGACTAGACTCTTTTCCGTTTTGAAATATAATGGATCTTACTTTCTACGCTTGAGATCTCCTTAAAGAGGTTTTAGTAAAAACCAGAGCACACAGTGGCTTTATTTTTTAATGAAAGAGCCAAAACTTTTTCCTACCACTGTAAAAATAAAATACAGTGATGATTTCCATTTGATGTGATAATTGAGCTAGTTAAAATGATCTGGAGAGGAAGTCTGAAATTCCTCATGCTTTCTCAGGAACTGCTTTCTTCCTTATTTTGTATGTAAATGTGGAACTTGGAAAATGATGCAGATGGGAAAATTTCCTTTTTTACTGGCTTTAAAACATCTCAGTGAATCTGTCGAAAGAAACATGAAGCTTGAGTGGATCACATACAATTTTGTTGCAATAAGAAGCTAAATTAACTATATGCATATGTTACTATGAACTTTGCTATATCATAATGATAAAAGGATAAGAGTAGTTTTGGCATAAATGATAATGTATATTTTGTATTCATATTACCCTAAGGCTACAAAATTGTTAGATTGGCAAATAACACGTTACATGTCAGCACATCCAGTGCTAAGGGAAGGAGAGGCTGGAAATAGAGATACGAGGATTTTAGGAATCTGGTTTTAGAGGAGGTTCACCTCTGTGTCCTGCACTGCAGGATTACTTAGGTAATACATTATCTTTTATTAATATCCAAAACCAGAATGATGGAAATCTGCTGTTTCCCACATGAAGTGTTTTGTCTGTCATTTTCCATCCAGTTCCATCTGGACTAGATCTCACCAAAAGTAGGAATATCCTGTTCATTTCATAAAATTCAGCATGTATGTTTGGGAGTCTGTGCATCCAAGGTGGTAGGATGGTAGGCACGTAGGATGTTCTCTTGCACACCTTTTGATAGTTATCTACAAAGACAAACTCTGATTGTAATTCATAATTTTTTTATTTTTTTAGTGTCTAAGGTCCCCTTGAAATAAACACAAAAGGAGGATCATGTTCTTCTTACATAATCATTACAAGTGATAAGGAATGAAGTGTAGACATGCAAGGTGCTTCATTTAGTTTAATCAGTGCTTGTATTATCAGTCATCCTGACATTGTATGATTCTAGTCCTTTATCATTTTGTCAGGAATTAACCAGTGCTATAGCTGAATATTAAAGATTATTGTTGTCTAAAGTAAAGGTCTCATCTTTTAAATAAAATACAAGGCTAGTTTTTCTGTGTTCTTCTATGAGCATATTAACTCTTGCAAGATGCTTCTGAGGCAGATAGCCAGAAACATATTGTTTGCACATGCCTATCTCTCCAGAACTGCTTCTTTCTTTAATGTGTGGCTTTATTTTTCAAATAGTTTGTGGTGACTGACATGTTATTGGCAGGTATTCAAAATATAGTTGGGGCACATATTATGTGAAAACATCAGGCACTAATATTTACTGTAATCTAAAAGTAAGATACACTCTGTTTTGTCTTTCATTCCTGAATACTGGTGGTTCTTTGAATAATATGGCTCACGCTGTAAATATGATTGGAAAAGTCAGTAGCTTTTAAAGCACAAAGCCCTACATTTTTTAAAAGTATATGCAGCTTCATTTAAAAAAGTGGCTTGCTTTTGTGTCCTAGATGGTTTTTGAAATAAGTATGCTTTCCAGTGACTTTTCATGGTTGCCAAAATGAGCAGTTAATACATGCTCAGTTTCTAGAAGAGCTCTTTAGTGGAGATTTCTTACCACTCAGGATGATTTTGATGGCTCATTTTGTGCTTTGGAGCTAGAACTACCTTTTCTTCACACATTAATTCAGTGTCAGGAGTTCTACTTATTGGCAGAAATACTTCGGGAGACATTTTTGGATGTTCCAGCCTATCCTTTCTCTTCTGCTGTCCATATTGCAATTCAGGGTCCTCATCCAAATGTTGTAGGGAATAGAGAATTACATGCAAGTAGATTCAGAGAACCTCAGCAATGAATGAGGAACTTGAAACAGAGATCAGTAGAGGGATAAATGTGTTTTAAACTTTATACTGGGGGTGCCTTGAGTTTGAGCCTTTTGTTGCCCTAAACTTAGATTCAAAATCACAGCTAGTGACTATTACCACAGTTAAATTCCCTCCCATGGCCTTTTCCTCCCTACTCTGCATGCAAACAGGAAGAAAGCAAACCATGTCACAGGGCTTCTTTGCCACCAAAGCATTCCTCCAGCCACTCATGCCTGCCTGGCCTATGAAGTGAAAATAATTCTCTCTGCATTGCCATGCCCTACTTCCTACCATGCTTGTTACACTGTGTGGTATGATTATTTCCTTCCCTTTAGCACACCTAATGAGTATTTCTCTGGATGACTGTACAGGGATTGGGCACAGGCAGAGGGGTTGGTTGTTTCCTTGTTTGGTTTTTAAGTTTTGAGCTTTTACAGTTTCAACTTGAGGAGGAGATTAATATTATGTCAGTAAGAAAAATGCACAAAATTACACCCACTTCAGAGAATTTGCCTCCCCCAGCTGCTGCAGTAGGGTTACTTGGCAGCTGCTTGCTCAGATACATCAACTACTATCACACTTGATTAACCCACACAGCTATGGGCCAGCACATTGCTAGCTGACAAGATAAAGTTAAGTTTAATTACTGTTATTTTCATGATGAATGAAGTGTTTCCTGTATAAGCTGCAGAAAGTTAGATGAGACAGCCGTCACTGTAAGAGAGGTAAGGAACTGAAATATGAAAGTGGCTTTCAGCTGTGAAGAGCAGTCTGCCTCTTCCAAGATCTTTTCTTTCTCTCAGACAAATTGTGGTGCTGTTGGTGTAACTTTGAAGCTGAGAGGTGTCTGTCAGTTTCTTTAACAGCAAAAGCTGACAGATAAGAAATTCAGTCATCTTTCGTTCTGGGCGGTGTTGATCAGAGGTCCTCTGAAGAAGTAATGAATGTGAAATACTAAATTTTCCGTAATCTGAAAGAAGCAAGATATTTACTGAGAGTCTCAAAATTTGGGTGATTTTCTATCACACAGAATTTGGCTAAGAGTATTTCTTAAACCGGGACATTCCTAAATATAATCTTGTAGTATGTAAAATTGAAGGGTCAGGTGAGATATTTTCAGGAGGAAAGTAATTTTAGCCTTTCTTGGTTGGCCACTTTTCAACTTCCGTAATTGTCTTTTAGGTACGTATAGCAACTGCAATTACTTCTGCAGAGTAGATTGCATGCAATGTTGCTCTTTACTCTGAACTTATGGCTTGCATTTAAAAAACATCCCTCACCTGTGGTACTGAACAGTTAAGTACTGGCAAATGATTGCTGTGAATCAGATAGACATAGCAGTATTTTTAAAGGGTAGGAATAGTTTTCTTTTGTATTATTATTGAGACTTTGTATTACACTATTTCAGTCTTATAATGCATTATGGTTTTATGATCTTCTACTGTGCTTTTACATTACATGATGTGGGCAAAGCAGAATCAAGCCTCAACACAGTTTGCATTTAAATTCCTATAATCTTGGCTTTTCTGATTTTGGAAAGTCTTGCTGTCCCTATCTTGATTGTATTTTGTTTCCAGCAGCTTAGTTACAGGATCTATTTGAAGTACCACAGCTCTTGAGTTCACAAGATGCCTTTGCTCAGTTTTTTTTTCTTTATTCCCATTTACAGATGGTGCTTCCCACTCTGCTGATTCAAGTGTGCTTTTGGAAAACCTCTAATTTTTCAGTCCCTATAGTTCAAATAATTGTTCAAACTCTCAAAAAAAACCCACTAAAAAAACAAACAACCCCCCCCCCAAAATAGTATGCATGGGGGATGTTCTGTGGAGTTTGGAGTTAAATGGGAGCAGATCTACCTGTGAGAAAACAGCAGTAATTGGCACTTCACCCCCGCTGAGAATGCTACTGAGTTTGCCAGTGTTTTCTGCTGCTGTTCTCTTAGCCCTTCCCCTTGAGTTCCTTCAGCATTGCTGTCTTTAGCATCACGTATGCTTTGAACACAGGTGCTGCTTCTGCAATGAGCCTGGGCATTCCAAGCTTACCTGGAAAAGCCGCATAGAGTCTGAGGACACAACAGCAATTTGTTGGAGTTTGGCCATAACGTGCTGCAGAATATCTGTTGGTTCTGGGCTTTGGTTTTATGCCAGCTGTGGGAGGACAGGGATTATTTAAGACAAAGGCAGCAGCTGCATTTGTACCACTTAAGAGCTTTGCAGAATGTGACTTTAACATTTTCTTACATGCCAGCTACTTTATAGCAATATGCTAACAGCATTAATTGACTGTAAATGCAGGCAGTGCAGTCACTTTTGGTACTTGCCTGTAATTGTCCTGTTCCAGTGCAGATAGCCTAATGTACAAATGCAAATGGAAACAAAAGTCTCTGATGTTTGACTGGGATGCCACAGTGCACAAATCTCTTTCATGTCACAACAGACATTCTCATATGTTGTCTAAACTTTCATTTTTCCCAGAGTATAATCGCAGTATCAGATTATGATTGCCTTGCAACCTTTGCTATTTCTGTCCAGCAGATGAACTGTTTTGGCCTCTCTGGCTTGTAACCAGAGAGTTAAAGCAATGAGAAAGAATTGGTCTACTCTGTTGCTATGTGATATAGGGATACTCGAACTAGTTCTGACTCAGTTGCGTAACTTCAGGCAGTAAGTCCACAGCAGCTTTGCATTGCAGCCAAGCTAATGCGCCTGATAGTTTACTTCAGTACTACGTCTAGAGAATGCCTTGTTTCATTACTTATTTCCGTATACTTCAGAGTCCGATATTAAACATCAGTAATCTAAGACGCCTGTAAAACTTCTATTAAAATGACCTTTTTGAAGCCATTCTATCTGTATACCTCTATCCAAAAATAAAATTTTAAAAATATTATCATTAATTGCAATATTAACTCCATTATGTTTTTATGTTTGCTGCAGGCTGGAAATTAAATCCAGTTGTTGGTGCAGTTTATAGTCCAGAATTCTATGCAGGTAAGGATTACGCTATGGTTGTCCATGCCATGTTTTATTTTAGTGTTCTTTAAAACATGCTAAAATACAGAATATACGTTTGGTGTGAGGTTTGGTTTTTTTGATTCACATTATCCACAAGTCATGTGCAGATTTGTGATGCAGGATTTTAACTTGCCTACTAAAGTTTATACAGATATATATGAATAGGTTTGTTTGGAGAGTAGATAGTGTAACATGAAATGTACTGCAGTATCCCAGTCTTATATGAGATTTTATTTTATATATATTTTATATTTCAGTACAGTCACTTTCTCTGGAAATTATTTAAGCCTAGTGAGCAGCAGCAACAAAAATCTATATATGTATTTTTTGTATATAGATGTACATTGACACAGATAGTTATAGAGTATCTCTGAGTAGTTTTTTTATTGAACATTTTTCTTTCAATTTTATTTTTAGTTGTTGCATTTCTTAAAATTTTTGTATTTTAAATGTATATTATGACTTGAGTCTTCATTGAGACCGAATTCTGATCCTGGTTACAATTTGGAGTTAATGAGATACAGTCTTTTTCTGCTGGAAATCAGTCATGGCTAGCAACAGTTTCTAAATATGCTTTAGCAACAGTATTGAAAAAAACCATGAAACCTAGAACCCAGTTGATGTCAAGAAATTTGGATCCTGCCTGTAAACATAATCACTAGCAAGTTCAAAAAAAACCCTTTTTTTGAAAGCTAATAATTTATATCTAAGTCAGAAATAATCATAGTAAATCCAGATGTTTCTAATAGGGAATAAAGATACCTTCCTTCCTTTTTTAGGTTCCAAAATCGCACGAGTCTTCCATGACTTTCATGGGAATTCTGGGAATTTTTCAGTTTTCCATTTGAATATGTTTTTCTATTGTCTTGGGTGCATGTGTACTGGATACAAATACCTGATAATGTTTTTAAAAACAGAAATATCACTTGTCACACACTTGGGTAATGGAGAATAAAGAGGTAATTGTAGAATGCATTCTTTACAGCAAGTAGATAGCAGATACTAGGAAAGCATTTTTGACAAACGGTGGTTAAAGATAGGAAGAGGTTGCCCACAGAAGCTAGGGAATTTCCATTCATGGATAGTCAAGCCTCCCCTCTTCAAAGCTGAAAAACTGTCATTAGTTCAAGGGACTCCAAGAGATAAAAATTGTTAAATAGTACTACTGTTACAAACAGATATTTATGTTTTAAAAGCTGCCTGTAATACATCCAATGCCATCTACTAAGATAGATAAAAATGTTCCAGTTAGGATAAAAGTGGCACAGTATAATAAAAATACTAACTTGGCGTTCATAGGATTGTAATTTCAGTGTAGGCAAAATTTATTTCCTTCCTTAATGTATGCCTGCATTGAAAACAGGAATTTAACATTGATCTCGTTTGAGTAGTTAGTGAACCAACCCTGAACCTGCATAAATTAGAAAGTCAGAGTTATTAGTCATTTTATATAAATGACTTTGAGTTAATGACAAATGTAATAATATTCCCATAGTACAGTAATCAATTTTCTAATGCGTACGCAGAATTAACAATCTGACTTATAATTGTCTCATGAAGTAGGGCATGAAGAGTTCACATAGTTTGTAAATTAAAATCAATATTTTCAATCTCTCCTGAAGGTAATTTTCCTAATTTACTGGACTTTTCCCTAACATTTATTTTGTCTTTTAATTATAAAATGGCAGGTTATTGATTTTTTTGTATAACCTCCTAAAGTCCCAAGTGCATTTTTATTGCCAACACAAGGGAGGTGTTTGCCCTTCTTAATGAGAATCTTTAATTACCATTAGGAGAGTATTAATTTAATTTTGTGAATTATGACATGCACTCCTCTACACCTATGCAGAAAGCTCTATCAAGATACTCCATGTATTTCAGATTGTCTTTCTGTTTATACACGCAGGCAGTTTTTTTGGTTTGGTTTGTTTTTTTAAAGCATATCAAATGCTTATTTTCTGTATTGACTAAAAGATTTTTTTTTTTCAGACATTTAAACTTTTTTCCAGCAATTTACTTAAAAATAAACACATAAATAAGTATCTTTGTGCAGATCTCGTTAGAAAGTGAAACAGTAGAAGAGCAATGCAGTTCCTGCGTGCCATAATAGAACACTGTGACATATCTTTCCTTTTTGGTTCCTACCTGCCACCTTATTTAGCGAAGAAGCAATTGCACTTTTGAAGATTATAAAATTAGAAATGAGATTTTTAAGACAGTCAGAATTCTAGTTACTTGGTGTAATTATTGTCTCCAACACTGTCATGTTAAAATTGAACCATCACTTTCATAGTGATGTGCAAGAAGTTTCTTTAGCCCTTAATAAATGATGAAAAATTTGGCCACTTCTGAAATAAAGATGATACATTTTCAGAGAAACTGTTGATGTAAAGTATCTTTAATCTTAATAAATAAGTAAAAAACAGAAGGTTATACAAAGCTGTCAGGATGGCGCTGATGAATGGTAAATTCACCCGTTTCTCAATTGCCGGTGAAGACACATGCCGCAAGGCTTAACTGTATTGTACATCATATCTGCCAACGCATTTCTGTGATTAAATATTCCATCAGTGCAGGCTATAAGGCGGCAAAGCTTAACAAGATTCATAAGATGCACCACTTGAATACGCATAACTCACTTCCTTGGATAGAGAGCACCCCGCATGCAAAAGAAAATTGGAATTGAGTTAAATTACTCCATATGACAAGATCAATAGAGAAAGGAAAAGATCCTCTAATGCAATGCAAATCTAAGATATAGTTATGTCCTGACAACTTGAAGCAGACAATTAAAGTCAAATAGGGAGGAACGCAATGTAAATCAAGCCTAAAACCTTGAAGGTAACGGTAAACAGTAGGACCGGTGACATGATTGTTATAGCTCTGGTTTTTTTTCCAAGTGTACACTTCTGTAAAAGAAAACCTTTATTGAGGAAGTACATGACAGCTAAAAATGGAGACTCTGTAAGATGCATAGCAGATGTGCAACAGACACTATGTAAGTGAACTGTTACGTGAGGACTGGAAAAATACATTTACAAAACACTATAGATTTCTTCAGTAACCTTTCTAAGACTGTTTTCCTCACTTTGAAATACTCATACTGTAGCAAATTAGAACACTCCAGAAACATGGCTATGTCACGTGGTAGCATTAATATGGATTACCATTGAGATGTTCATTTGAAGACTGCTGTTGTAACTGCAAGGTTTAGCAAGTGTCCCTCATAGCCCCTGCCTGTGGCCGTGCTGGTGAGCTGCCTGACTGGCACACCACCTGCCCCTCCAACTGGTCCACTATGGAGTCTAGCATGACTTTTCACAGAAAACAAAAGGCCAGTGATTTTCTTCATTTCTTGTTTTCAGCATTTCACAGAATTCCATTTTTCCATATATCATAACTCATAGTTCATTTTTAAAAAATTGACAGATGTCCGCATAGTCTCCTTCTAGTAAATAAAAGTATACTAATTAAGGTTCTTTTTCTTCTCATGAGAAAGAAATACTTAATGAAGTTGTTATTTTCGTTTCAGCTTATCTTTTCCAGTGAACTATTTATCAAGTTGTTAGGCAGGTCCTAATGAGGGGGTTTGTAAGAAGCATTTGATTCATCTCACAAAGTCTTATGGAAACTGGGGAAAATTTTTCACACATTTGTGCATCCATCCAATTTTAAATCCATCCCATAGTGACACATAATTTTACTATGTTAAGCTATAGTCTGTTCTTTTCCCCCATAAACTCATCTTTGGCTGTCAAAATAGATTTGCAGTTTGGTTTCTTTTCTAGTAGTACTCTGGTACTTACTTACCATAAGTTGTTACATTCTTTTTTTCTGTGGGGTTTTTATAGTATCATTTTTATCTGCATATTTATTTTTATGTAGTGTACAGTTTGCCTGTAATACCTGGCCTTCCTTTCAGCCTCAGGCAGTCTGAAAGCAAAGTTCCACATTGTTCCTTTCAGTCATTGCATCAGTCAGATCAGTCCTTTAAAACAGTTAGCTTGAGACACAATAATATCATCTTAAAAACCTGTCCTTTCAAGTGGTAGAGCATATGTATTGGAGCACACACCTGATGGAGAGGCTTTTTTCTGACAGTTCTGGTGTGCAAGGTGGGGGAAAAGATGTTACAGAAATTCCCTGGGAATCTCTTTCAGAGATTCTTTCAGTTGAATTTAGTGATCCACATAAGAAAATATTCTTGTCTGGCCATAACCAACAAACAATATTTAAAAATAAATCAAAAATTAAATTGGCAGTGGAGAAAGAAGTTGAGACTAGTGAAGAAGAAGAACCATTAGAACAAGTCATAGAGCACACAGCTTAATGACAAGTAGTAGAGACCCCATTCACCTTTTGCTGAAAAGATTAATTACATAATATTTCTTTTTAATGGCCTTGGAGTGCTATGAATTTTTGGGAAGCTACTTTCAAGAGTCATCCATGTATCTGAGCAATTGTGTTCACTTCAGAAATAGTCTTAACCCAGTAAGGAAACTGGCATAGGCACCAGTTTCTTGGACAGCTAGAGGCTGCAGGATGGCTTGGGAAATTTCCCTCATCAGTTAAAATGGAAGAAAGGGGAAGAGCATGTACTTTTTACTATTTTATATGCTCTGGGAAGGGACAGAAGTTTCAGATGCCTGGGACTTCCTAGCATGCTGTGGATTTGGGAGCTAGAAGTATCCTCCAAGAAGCTGACTTTGTAATAAACTTCCTTTCATAAGTTTAAAACTTTGAAATACAGTGTTACACATAAGCAGTGAAGTACCGTGGTACCATATATATATATAAAAAAACATGCACTTAAACAAGAGGAATCCAGGGGAAGAGAGGATGCCTGTATGTTTGCTAACACTAATTCTCTTTGTTCGTGTCTTAAAGCGTCTATTTCTGGATTGTAAGAGCACCTGGGATTAATTTCTTTGTTCTAGTGTTTCTCTTTGAATTTAAATGAGTCTTGCATAGATTCA